TTTTTAAGACAGGGTCTCACTCCATTGCCCAGGCTGGAATACAGTGGCATCATCACAACTCACTGCAGCTTTTGCCTCTTGGGCTCAAGTGATTCCTCCTTCCCCCACCCCACTTCTCACCCCTAGGTTGGACTGTAGGCATGTACCACCACGCCTGGCAGAGACCGGGTTTCACCATTGCCCAAGCTGATCCCAGACTCCTGAGCACAAGCAATTCGCCTGTTGCAGCCTCCCCTAAGCAAGCATTTTTAAGTTTCCATTTATGTGGTTTAATTTTTATTTGCATTGTGTGATCATGGAATATGTTTTTATGATACTGGTTATTTGAGATGTAGTGAGTCTTTCTTTGTAACCTAGTTAAAACATTCCATGTCTTTTTAAAAGGATGTATGTTCTCTATTTGTTAGGCTAAAGGTGACATATGTCTGTGCATGCATGTTTGATGAAGTTTGTAATACTGTTCACATGTCCATATCATTACTAATTTTTATGACTGCCCCTTATTTATCAGTTCCTTATAGATGTGTTATAAATATCTCACTGTGATTCTGGATTTGACAGTTTCTCTTTGCCAGTTTTGCTTTATATTAAGTTCAGAATTGTTAGTATGTGCATTTTTTGTGTTGGTATACTATAATCTTCATTATCTCTATTTGTTTTTACCCTAATTCTGTTTTGAGAATTGGACAGTCAGTTTATTTTGGTTACTATTTGTATGGAATGTCTTTGCATTCGTGTATTTGCATGGAATGCCGTACTGTCTTGTCATTCGTGAGACTGTCTTTTCCTTTACCTCATTCCCTCCATCTGCTTTCACTCTATCACCAATTCCTGTTGATTTTTCTGTCTGAAGTATTTATCTTGACAACATCTGCTTCTGTTTTCACTGCCCTCACCCATCTTACCTGGGCATGATACAGTCTCTGACTGGTCTCCTGGTCTACTGTTGCTCCCTTTAATCTATTCTGGAGAGCAGTCAGTGATCTTTAAAAATGTGAATCTGATTGTCACTTCCAGGTTTGAAAATCTTTCAATGGTTCCTGTTGCTTTTAGCATGAAAGGCTAAATAGCCAACACACATTACATGGCCCTGTATGAACTACCCCTTGCCTACCATATCAGGTTTTCTCTTCCCTTTACTATATCTTTCTGACTTGCTGGCTTCCTTTTAATTCCTCTCACAAACCTTAACCGTTTTTGACACAGATTCTTCTTCTTATTTATTTGACACAGGGTCTCACTTCGTCTTCCGGGCTGGAGTGCAGTGGTGCAGTCGTAGCTCACCGTAACCTCAAACTCCTTGGGCTTTAGCTATCCTCCTGCCTTAGCCTGCCGAGTAGCTAGGACTGTAGACATGGACCACCATACTTGGCTAATTTTTTTCCTTCTTATTTTTTTAGAGACAGGATCTCGCCATGTTGGTCAGGCTGGTCTTGAATTCCTCGCCCCAAGTTATCCTCCTGCCTTGGCCTCCCAAAGCACTGGGATTATAGGTGTGAGCCACCGTGTCCAGCCAAGGTTCTTCCTAATATGCTGTTTCTTTTGCCTGGAATGTGCTTCTGTTCCTCACTCTCTGCCTCTTCATCTGTTTAACTCTTACTCCTTCAGATCTTAGCTCATATGTCATTTTGTCCAAGCCTTTTACCCTGACGCTCAGACTAGATCAGGTCTTCCTGTTATCCTCTACCAGGTCGCCTGTCTAGCACATGCCACAGCAGTAATTAAATAAGTAGAAATTGAAATGTAATGTCTCTTTACTTCCTACCCTCCAAACTAGATTACAAAGTACTGAGGGCTGATTTTATCTGATTGATTGCTGAACTGTCTATTCTATATGCTAGCTCAGTGCCTTTGATGCATTATAGGTACTTCATAAATATTTGAATGGATGGATAAAGGTACATTGGGCTTGGCTTTGTCATTTACTTATTGACAGTGGGAAGACTGCTATGGTAAGCATATTGTATGTAGTAGGTATTTGGTTAAATATTTTCAGCAAATCAGTCGTTTGCCTGGTCTTTCTCATCTGTGTTTGGCGACATGCTATATTGAAAGAACAGCAGGTGGTTATTTGTACCCCTTATTTCTCTCTACTGTATTCCTCTCTTCCCCCCATTTCCCATACATCTCCCATATCTTGCCATCGCTCTGGTAGCAAACAGGTACAGGCATGAAAGAAAGACCTGAAAAATCTGCCTAGTTTAGGAGGTTTTTTAAGAAGGCAAGTCTGTTAATCATTGAAATCACTAAATAAATTTGCTGTGTGGGAATCTTTTCTTAATTGGCAGCAGTAAAGAGGAAAGGTTCCCCCCCCCCAACGTTAAAAATAGAGTAGTTTATTGTAGAAAATTGGAAAACTCAAGGAAGGAAAAAAACCTGCATATCCCACAGCTGTTAGTATTTTGGTATTTTCACCTGTCAATCTTTTTTTGGTGTTTAGTTATGTATTTTAAGCATAATTTAGGTCCTTAGTACCTAGTATTGTGCCTGGCATGGTTTAAGTGCTCAGTAGTTAGCGTGTGTTTTTTCAATTTAAAAATGGCTGCAGCTTCCCGGTTTGGTATGTAGGTGAGCATTGCTTTTTCTTGATGGTGTTTATAACCTGTTTTAGAGTAGTTGAACTTTATATGAAGATGTGATTTTTTAAAAATGAGCTTGTTAGATCATTGTAAAAAGTTGCTTGGGTTAAATATTTTGGAGTCACCTATGACTTCTTTTTTTCACAGTCTACTTGCAGCCCTTCAGTAGAGCCTGTTAACTCCTCCTCTATATATACCCAGAATCTGATCGCTTCTGCTTCTGCCACTACCACCCTAGTTTAAGGAAGCACCATCTCTCAGTTGGATTATTACAGAGGCCTCCAACTGGGTGCCTGCCTCTATCCCTGCCTCTTAACAGTTTGTTCTCCTGATGTCATCCAGAGTGATCATTTAAACAGTATAGGTCAGATCATATTCTTCACTCTTAAAACTTTCCATAGCACTTAGAATAAAATCTGAATTGCTTATGTTACAGTGCTTTCTTTCTCCCCAATTCCTATGTGATTTGCTGCCACCACCTCCTTATTTATTCCCTCCATTCCATTCCGTGAAGAGCAGCTGCACCCCTCCCCATCCCACCCATGGAGCCATGGCATGCGCTCTGCTTGGAATCCTTAGTCCATCTGCTTAGAATTCCCTCCCTGGTGGCCATGGGACTGGGTCCCTTACTTCTTCAGGTCTCTGCCCAAATGTGGTTCTGTTAAAGAAGCTTTCTTGTAACCCTACCCAGAAAGACACTGTTACCACCTTTCCACCTCAGTCCTTCCACTCCCCTTTCCTGACCGATTTTTCTTCATGCTCCTTGTTGCTGTCTGATGTTCATTTTGTTGCCTGCTTACTGACTAGTTCCACCTAAAATCTACAAGAGGAGGGATTTATCTTTGTTGCTGAGATCTCAGGGTCTAAAACAGTGCCTGAAACATATAGAATTCTATAAATATTGGTTGAATGGATAGTAGATATTCTCAAGTAACTTAGTGACAAAGTCTGCATTGGGACATAGGTATTATGACATCTCAGGCCTATTTTATTTTTTAATAGGTAATACATTCACATGGTTCACTTTTTGTTGTTGTTTTTGAGACGGAGTCTCGCTCTGTCGCTCAGGCTGGAGTGCTGTGGTGTGATCTCGGCTCACCACAACCTCTGCCTCCCAGGTTCAAGCAGTTCTTCTGCCTCAGCCTCCTAGGTAGCTGGGATTACAGGCATGTGCCACCATGCCTGGCTAATTTTGTATTTTTAGTAGAGACGGGGTTTCACCATATTGATCAGGCTGGTCTCGATCTCCCAACCTCAGGTGATCCACCTGCCTCAGCCTCCCAAAGTGCTGGGATTACAGGCATGAGCCACTGTGCCCGGCCCACATGGTTCAGAATTTAAAGAGCATGCGATGAAGTCTCTCACACTCTGCCCCCAGCCCCACCCTGTCCTCCTCCTCAGAAGTAACCAATATTAGCCAATGGATTAATACACAAAATCACAGAGTTCTTGTGTTAGCCAATGGTTTAATACACAAAATCACAGAGTTCTTCCTCCTTTATACAAATGCACACTTTAGCATCTGCACTTTTAAACCTTGTTTTTGTTTTGTCTTGTATACTTCAGAGATTGTTCTTTGTCAATAAAGACATTATTGTTTAAAAGCATCTATTTAATGCCTGCATAATATCCCATTGTGTGAATTTATCATGATTCTTCTTTTGATGGACATTGATGTTTCTAGTCTTTAGCTCTTACACGCTATACTGCAGTAAATCACTTTGTACATACATCATTTTGCCTTGTTGCTAGTATATCTGAGGAATAAATTCCAGTGAGGAATTGCTGGGTGAAAAGGACATGTGTATTTGTAATTTTAGACACAGTCAAATTGCCTTCTAAAAATTGTACCAGTTTTTACTTCTGGCATAGTATGTTGTTATTTTGATCTTTGCTAACTTGACAGATGAAAAATGGCATGACACTGGAGTTTTTTGGTGTTTCTTATACCATGAATTAAGCATCATTTTGTATATTTAAGAGCCATCTGTATTTTCTATGAGTTGTATGTGTCCTGAACCCACTTTTCTACTAGGATTCTGGTCTTTAAAAAAAAAAAAATTTAACTTGATAGGAGCTCTCGTTTATGTAAATTATTTATTATTTATTTTTTAATTTGTTTAGAGATGGGATCTCACTGTGTTGCCCAGGCTGGTCTGCAGTCCATCCACCTCTGCCTTCTGAGCTACTGAGACTATAGTCACGCACCACCATGCCCAGCTTTTTATGTAAATTAGCCCTTAATCTGTGATCTGAGGCACAGACATTTTGTTCCATTTGCCATTTGTCTTCTGATTTTGCTCATGGTAGTTTTTTCCTACATAGAAAGTTGTGTTTTTTTTTCCCCTTTATCTTTCTTCCTCTTTCTTGGGAAATTTCATTTTTTTTATAGACAAATGTATTAGTCTTCTCTTAGGTTTTGAGTCACACTTAACCCTCCTAATATTAAAAAAAAATACTCATAGTTTCTTATTGTGCTACTACTTCTGTCTTTCTCTCTCCTTTTTTTTTTTTTGAGACAGTCTCTCACTCT